AAACACTTGCAAACACTTGCCAATGGTAACAACGACCTCATGATTCGGGATCTTCCGCAAAGAAACTTCTCAGCACATTGCTGACCACTCGGTGGTCTTTGTTTGTACCGCTGTGTACATATCCAAGCGAGTGTCGACAATTATACCAATTCTTTCCCAAAGCCACTGGTGAACCGTGTATCGCGATCAAAGACGATGGCGTCTGTAACCCGTGACTGTGAAAAAAGTGATGAATGAACAATCTAGTCAGAACTTCGGCATCGATGGAATCGCTACAAGGAGCGATGTGAACCATCTTGTTGAGTTATCAGTAAAGACGACCTCATTGCGGTCGTCAGCACTCTCGAGGAAGCCAAAAAGAAAGTCAAGACCGACTGACATCCAACAGTCAGAAGGTACAGGAAGAGTATGCAGTGGTGCTTGTGTGTGCCGTGCGGTCTTCACGCGCTGACAGACATCGCATGTCTTCACGTATCGTAATACTTACTTTTAAATGCGAGGTTGCCAAATCCTGAGCACTGATAGACTGGTAGGTCTTCTCACGGCTAGAGTGACCAACCATCGGCGTATCATGCGCCTCGTACACAATCTTGTTGTACTTCAATCTAGCGCTGTGGAGAATTACAATACGTAGCTCGTCGTCATATGCAAATTCATAGTGAAGGAGACCATCTTTAATGCGTAAGGATGCATCCCTAATTTTAAGCGACCAAGAAGCTTGAAAATGGAGTTCCAGACGGCTCAATGAGAGTGCCTTGATGATCAGACACACTCTTTATGCTTAACCAGCAATCAATGTATCATATTGAATTCATCGTTTTCGATTTAGCTAGTAAAGGCTTGCTCATAATCAGGACGGCGTGACAATGTGTCAGACAGCACGCTTTGCACTCCCGGCTTGTACGCGACCGTGAAGTTACTTTCTGCGAAGAATGACAACCAGTGAGCCATCCGCTGGGAAAAGTGAAGAGACTGAACTGTATATAGCAGTTTTGCGAGTTCCGTGTGGACTACAAACGGAGGTGAACCCACGAGGTAAACACGAAACCTCACTAGAGTAATCTTCATTGCCGAAGCTCCTGGTCGTGGACACGGTAGATCTTTATTACAGGCTTCAGCTGTCGCGATTGAAACGACACGATACGATCGTGTCTTTTTGAGTATGTATGGTTTGGGAGTGGCTTGTGATGCCAAAGAGACTAACCAATGCACCAGCAACGCTCATTCGATTGGTCTCCCATCTTTTTCGATTACTGTGAAGTTTCTCACAAACATATTTTGGCGATATTTTTATGCTCATTTTAAGAACGAGGATGGCAGATCTACAAGAAATGTTTTGGAACACCTCCGTACGGTATTAAAACGTATGCATGAACTACAATTGTAATCGAATTATGCAAATGTATTTTCGGTGCTATTGAGGAACTATTATGTTGGTGAACGCGGTGTTCGTACAGCCTATGAGAAGGTCAAAATAATCGTGGAGTGCTCCATGCCACGATATCAAAAGAAATCGAGGAAATAAAAAGGTTTTAAAATTACCTGACTCGCTTCTCGCGTAAGTCTTTCAAATTTGCTGAAGAAAGACGTATCATGAGGGTGATCATCCATTTGAAAGGAAGCATTAATTTCAATCAAGAACAATCTGATGAAGCACCATTATTTGCTTGGCAAGATGATTCGAGTCCGTAAGCGTTTTGAACGGAAATCGTCTGTGCATTTAATCATATATAGGTGTGAGCGATACGCCAAGAAAAGAGAAGAGAGGAGAAGAGAAGAGAAGTAAAGAGAGGAGAAGTTTACGCACTCAAAACGTCGGCATGCTGTGAGGGAACCTGCTCTCCCTAATCCATCCAGCAGCTTGCTTTCGAGTTAAGAACTCATCGATAAACTCATTTTGTATACGCGACATTGGTTACTGACAAAGCACTGTATGCTTTGGACCAAGTTCACGACTCCATTCGTGTCGAACTCCTTGTCCGGGTGAAGTCCAGATGGTGGCTTCGCGCTAAGGACGTCATCGTTGTATTCCATAACAAATTAATTATAAGGATTAGTTACATTCTTCAGAATAGCCAATCTACCAGCGTGGTTTCATACGCTGTCAAAATTTTTAGAGATCTAAATCATTTCAAACTAATGATGAGCGTAGTTCCGCTGAATTGACCTTTGACTGTAGCAATTCGACCCCCGCAATATCATCACTCTTAAGGTCGTGAAAGAAGCCATCGTGAATGCCTTCCTCGAGCTGGACCAGCTCCTCCATCGTCGGCAACGGTGCCAAAAGAACATCTTAACTTCACAAACAGACGTTGCACTCACAATACCCGGGCCAGCATATTTGCATGCTAACTTTCCATCATGGGGAGTAATACGTTGACCTAAATCAACCGCGGACTCGACCGCATTCAGAACGGGAATCTCAGTATCGCGATTTGGAGATGTCGTTCATCCCTTCACATGTGTGCGCTTAACCACACAACGGATGGGAGCATCACCATTGTGGTCGCTTATACACACAAAATTCGATCTAACCACTGTTGTCGTGGGAGTTTTAGTATATACAGCCGCAGTCGATTCCCTCGACTTTTCAGTACATACATGTCGACAACATTCTTCTGTCTTGAAAGGGTCAAACAACCGGCATCTCTGCCGGGCAAAGCACCATGCTCACGAACGCTTCATTTATTTATAAGTGGCCAATCCAGGCACTATTTGATCTATCAACGCACTTCCTGAGTAACAACTACTGGTCACACCATACGACTTCGTATCTTCCCTGACCCGGTCAAAATCTCAATTACATGACATATACCAATGAAGTGTGGATCATTACCAGCAGCATACAACAGTCAAAGGCTTGAGCGATTCTTCTGGCGCTTAGTGCATATGGGCTCACTACTTTCAAGAATTTCTTCTGGGCTACACGAGCTACTCCCAGTCGTTTTTGATCGCCAATCAATCCATGCTTCTCAAGCCACGGTTAGCCTATCAGGTCATACGGTTTGTCCATTTCGAGATCTGTGAATACTTCCTTCGAGGTTGAAGTCTTCAAACTTCAGCTGAAAATTTATTCTAATTTTCTTTGCGGTGACCACCGCACCAGCGGCCAATTTTACTAAGAAAAAGTCGTTGTTTTTAATAAAGCATTTAAAAGCACTGATTTATTTTAAGCCACCCTTGACTCCCGCGCTTAGTTACGCGACGCGCCAGAATCAATCAAGACTCTAAACGGACGACCGTATCCCTTCCCACTCGCTGTAACCACGAAAAGACCATGTCTTTGACTAAGGACAACGAGTCTTCAAGGGCTTAACTCATATACGTGATTCTACCAGGACACTCACAAGAAATTATATGTGCTCCTGTGGACCACCCTGCCTTTAATGGGTACCGGCGTTTCCCGAACACCTCGTTATATTGGTACCACGTGGCGTTCAACCACTACGACTAGAACCGTATTGAGAGGTTCGTCTCCCACGTGAGCAATCACGACGGATGCGACCAAATTGTTGACATCCATAGCAGCGAATTTGCTGCCTTTGGGCAGTCGTCGAGCTACTTGTTGGCTGTAACATATCGAGACTGGTTTATCTAAAGTATATTTTCATCAACTTTCTTTTTCACACCATTGATTTTTTATTATCAGCAGTAGCATTTACTGCTTTCCCGATTGACCACGTGCATGAAGATGACAGTAGTCGCGCAATGCAATAATATTTTTCCAGAGTCCGACGACTTTGAAGAAAGACTTTAGTCTTAGGAGTACAATAGGTGAGTCCCTCCATGAACTCTGTGACCATCACTGCCTCGGGTAGTGGTTCGCTTGCCATACTGATACGGAGCTTACGGAGCCTCTGTGAATAGTCGTACAATGTATTTTTTTCTTGACGGTAGAACAAAATTTTGACCGTTGTCGAAACGCCAAATTCGGCGAAAGAAACATCGATTTCATGACCCTCTTCAGCAATTGCAATGTGGCAAAGTTTCCGGGATGATTGACGTCCTACGTCATTGCCCAGTCCTTTGCATGGCCATCCAAATGCGACGTGGTGAAGGCCACTTGACTGCGGTCATTATAAATTTGAGAAATCGCGATAGTGATGTCCATTCTCGCTGCCAAACACAAGGTCTCCAACTATTTTTCGTAAAAGATTTTCCACGGGGCGTTCCGTGACTACCAACGGTGTTACAACCACGTGTGGTGGAGGTGACGGAACTGGCGTCATTATGTTTTTGATTGGAATACCCAATAACTCTTGCTTATATAAGCAGCAAAATTTGTCAGGCGTTGAGTTATCGCTTTTTTATCCAATTGACGCATCTTGGTAAGCTCGCGATCCCCGATTATAGCTTGCAGCTTTATCACACAATACCATTGTGAGTGTGTGAGGAGCAAAGATTTCCCTGTTGATCTGAGGGTAACATCGCCTGTGATGTCCATATTATCCATTGATAAATCCATCGAAAAAGTCGGCGTTGGAATGACTACTAGTGCTACCAAGTTTACTGAGAATTGCCCGTCCGTGTACACTTACTCACTGAGGAATGCCCAAATCAGTTGAAACGCTTCACCACCCGATCTCTCTTGCTGGGAGTCGTTAATTATTTTAAAAATGAGGAGAGACGATGTGACATTTTTCAAATCAACCTTAAATGTCCCTGAAATGATAATTGCCTCCAATTATGATATCACATAATTAAGGGATATACAACTAGACAGGGTATATAGTTACTGTTAACCACACATAAGTAGGTGATTCACACAACAAATGAGATAGAAGAGGCGCATTATATGTATGTGTGTTGATGTTATGTTGGGCTTTGTATCGCAAAAATATCAAGACGCTGCTTATCCACCAAGTGGTCGCTCAGCTTGGCTGCAAATTATATCCTCACAACCCGTTCCCTTCACTCAGTGCAGCACCAACCAACATTTTTGGGTCAGACGTTGCGTTACACATTACATGTGACAAAAATCAAATTCATTAAAAGAGGTTTCAAACTCGTTGAAGTTCATGATGCAAACTGCACCTGTACGGAGACTCCTTGGGAATATAGTCACTTTTGCCGATCAGGAATAATTCAATCGACACCCTGGCTATGAGAGCCGCTAGCAAATAGATACTCAATTTAATGTACATATAAAATTTTCGACTGCCTGCGCGAAGCGTGATTATGTGGTGCACGTACTCGCGACTACATCATCAATCGTGATGACTGTGTCTGCAAAAGATTTTGCAAGTGCAATGATAATCATTTCGAGTCCGGAGATTGGGTTGCTTACCCGTTTGATCCATTATGCTACTAGATCATAATAAAACTTGGAGGCGCACCGAAACAAATCGTTGATACGATCTACCCCGAGTTTTACGGTAGAGGAGGGCAATCTGTGAATATGTGTCAGCTTAAGCACTTGCCAATCAATTCACTTCATGGGCATCATGAAAGCCTTCTGGAAATCAACCGAAATGATAAATATGATTGCCTAATTTTGTACTATATGTCGTCCCTCAACGCCAGCAGGTTGAGATCGTTATGTATCAACAAGCTCAAGAGGATAACGACAAGGTTAAGACGCGTAAAATGCTTGACAAGAGGAAACATGGCGGAAAGAAAATTAATCGATGTAAGTTGCATAGTTGATATGATATCGATAACGAGGCAAGTTATGGAAACTTGTGTGCTTAACCCGTGCACATTTAATACAATTGTATCATTTACATATGGAAAACCAAGGCTGAGTGGCGGTGAAAAAAACAGATGGGACCCTCCATCCAACTGCTGCTTTTAGCGTCTCAGTTTTCGAGGGATGCGACAAAGTTAAGAAAAACTTTCCAGATGAGAGAAGCTGGTTTGGCTATCAAATCGGCCAGGCTTTACGCGGAGCCACAGCGCGTCGCGTGCGAAAAGGAGCGATTACGGGTCAATGCTTCAATAAAATACGTTACCAGATGTGAGACGATTTGTAGCTACAGATGTCGCAGGAGTTTGCACGGCCCGGCTTGGTGTATCGCGCACGCTCATAGTTTGACATGAAAGGCGAGAACTGGTTATGTTCGACAGCATAAAACTCTGATTGCCGCAACAGTGTCTGGCCCTCTCTCGAAGTTGATCATGGTTACTACCTTTATCGACGCCTTCAAACGGGTGTGGATCGCTATAAGACTTACCGTGTCAGCACTTCCTCTTTCGAGGGAGTGCTGTGCGTAGATTTTTTTCAAAGCAAGCTAAATTCCTATGCCGCGAAAGCACGATGGAGTTGTGTGAGTATTAGCTCTATGAGTACGCTAGAGGTGATGGAATCAGTGATGGAGAGGTGTAAAACAGGCATATCTTACCTTCTGAAATTATCCACATACCCGCAGACATTTCGTAATTCAATGCATCTGCGCCTTTTGTGCCCTGTACGCAAGAAGTAATCGTAGGAAACGTCCATAACCAGTAGACTTTCGTGTGTCTGATCGCAAAGAACTGGGTATTTTTGTGCGTCATGGTGGTCATTATCAGCGTAACACAGCCCCAAAATAGCGATATTTTTCAGGGGTGATTGGGCTTATAGCACAGTGTTGACTTGTGGATATAGAAGTCCTGAGACTCGTGCGGCCAAGAAGATTTCTGATACCATCAGGAGCATCGCGCAATTTACGTGTGTTAAAAACAGTAGACAGTACGCAGAGGCAATGTAGATGCCAAAGACGGATACAATATCTAAGTATGCTGCGACAGAAACCTGATAAAAGCGTCAAAGGCTTACTTGAGCCTTCACTTAAGCTTAAGGAATTCTGACAGAATGGAACGTTGTAAACCAAGATTCATGATATAATTTCATTTTGTCCATGGCGTATTCAGATTACAACGATTCATGGGTTGAACTGAAGTCTATAACGTTACGTGCTACGCACTTCGCCCTGGTGGAGTCGTGAACCCTCCTATACCATGGGGCAGAGACACATTTGACACGAGATAACTTTTCGTGCATGTCTGAAAAATTGATTGCGACGGTATTATAGTGTATCTCGAGCAGTGCCCGGAGTCAGAAGCGACAGTAAGCCGATGGTTCATAAGAAAACAAAAATAGGCAATTGTATATCATTTTCCCACAGTCATCTTTGTCAAGACGAGAAAGCTTCACTTCACTATGCCACAGCAAAGTATGTGTGTCGCTATCCCTCGTATCAGATTCAGTAAAATTGAAGACCAGAGTAAGTTACAAATAAAAGGGATAGACCTTAAAGATAATGTCCTTGCCATGATGTGAAGGCCTGCTGAGTCAACACTTCAGCAATAAAGCCCTAGGAATAAGTGGTGAGAAATCATTTCGCATGAGATGGTGTCGTTGGACTCGACCCTCACAACCAGCGGCCGCAGCTTTAGATAAGCAAAACGAAAGAATTCTCAAAAATTGTACAAGGAGTGCAAGACGGCAAGATCATCTAAATGTTACGGTTGATATAGAAGAAGAAGCTGAGCTCGAAGCCCATCTTAGGTATACCTGTAATTGAAGATATCCGCAGAACACTGTGAGATGAGTGTAACAGCTACTTTATGGAACGTAGAGATTCTCCCTACGTTTTGTTGAGCGCTTTATCACTATTCATAGTGGAATCTACGTGGTGACGATATATCTAACACGCGTGTTACCATCGGGTATGGGAGTGCATCATGAAATCGATCTGTAACCAAATGCTTTAGCATATGGCAATAACGCTTACAAAAGCAACAGCAGGACGTTACTGACACATTCTTTTATTGAAAGTGCAGAATGGTTCTGTACGTAAATTTTCGTACTCGGTGCCGAGTGTCTGTGTTAGAAAGGCTAACAACGAAAGCAAGTTGCATTAGCTTATAACAAGCAAAGCGCAACAGCGATTGCATACAAGCGCAGATTTCGTGTATAATTGGCTAGAAAAAATTAGCGTTGTCAGCTGTACTTCTGTGACTGCCCATCACTGATGATTATTTTTCATTGCTGCTGAATGACATCATTTTATTCTCAATGCGGTGGGAACACGAGCGGGACGCTCTGGGAACGAGTAGGCAAACCATAGGAGTGTCAAACGCACCAGCGACGTTCTATCCTTCGGTGACGCAGCTGTTCAGATCAAACCACGGTCATGCATATTTCTATATATTGTCCATGGTCGTGTGAAACACGAAAAGCTAGAAGTTTTCAGCGACACTGAGCCTATGCAAACAGCGCTCAATAGTATTCAATTGAACGCGCTGTTCGCCAATATGTGCGAGTGTGTTTTGGCGCCGGCGAATTCTCCTTATTGAGTTATTTCATATGAAAGCGGAGCGTGCGGGTTGATCCCGCGAATTAAGACCACTGTAGATTGTTCAGCGTACCGGGGTTACACATACTCTGGTATGAAAGGATGGATCACACAAGATAGTGTGGCCGTACAAAGGTGTGGATTACACAAGACGGTGTAATCACACAATGGTGTGACTACACCGTAGCAAGAAGCCACAACGTGGCAGGAGTGGCAGTAGGAATGCATATTGGTTAGGTTCTACTATTCAATTAGAAAATTCTAGCGATTTAAGTATAGGCGGCTCTATCGCAAATAGAACAGATGAATATATTTTCAATTCTGAACAAAAGAGTGCATTTACCTTGGGTGATGGTTTTGAGTAATATTGGAGGTAGCGGATTGTGATCCGCTACACTCATGCTAGTTCTAGTAATCGAACGAAGGTCAGCGACCTTAGTAAGCTCCCTATAAGCAAAGAGATACGGCAGCTCCGCTGCATTTAGTGCCTATTTCGCAAAAGGCTTGATGAAGTAGCTCAACTACTTGCACAAGTACAGTGCAAATCATGCCAACAATGCACATCCCTTCAACAATATCATTGAAAGAGTGTTATATGGTCTCAAAATTTGGCGGCAGAGGTGGATAGCAAGGCCGTAGAAAAAAATCACTTTTAATCCGATCGAGTCCAGAGAGGTCATTCCGCGGCGTTTATGACATTTCAGCTTTTGCAATAGGCTGTGCTTTGTTTTAAAGCGGATGCCAATAAGAAATGGACGCGTGTTCGCGTTTAAAGTTCGCCGGCTAAATGCTTTGAAAGCTGGACATGCTAAAAGCCACTTGCAATGAAGTATCCCTTCGTCAACTTTAAGCTATCTGCTTGGTTCTACGACATTTGTAGACTATACAGATCATGTGTCAGTGGCCGCAGCGACGTCGCACAAAAAATCGGCAAGATGGCTATTCTTCTTCGCCGAGCACACCTTTAAGGTAGTGTATATACCGCATTAGCTTGGTATGGCGGAGTTTGCGCGTTCGCTTCTCCCTGACATATGTATTGTCGTATACCACAAAGGTTACCGCAACAGTTGGTAAAGTGATTTGAACGCCGTATGGGTTAGTCGAATTCTATGTTGCATTACTGATAGCTTGAAAAATAAAGCATTTTAAGTCGGGTTTCTATTTAGCGGAGCGCGCAGTTGCATGTCTCTACGGCCTTGCTGTGTCTCAAAGCTAGCTTATTACATCACTGACCCACACGACACCCAGGGCGTATTGGTACCTCAATTTGATGACCTCAAAAACATACTAATTAGGCACATGATATGGCCACCTTTGAATGGTTTGGACATACAGCTCGGTGAGAGCTGTGCGTTGGTGGCACAGTGTGTATAAGTGGTTAAGCACATCCTAAAATATGTCAGCGAGCTAAATCTTGCCGCACGTGGTGGTACCTTTGGGCAACCTGTCGGTTCCGGTAGCGTCCTTGCTATCCTTAAGTATGTCCTATGCATCAGCGTTTCCTCTAGGCGGTAATGTCATTATTGCGGTCTTTGTGCACGATCTGATCATAATTCTCGACGACGTATTTCGTAATCATAGTTTTTCGGTTACCATTGTATTGGATAGAGATCCCGGCCTTTCAGCGACGTTTCTGGCTAATATATTCAGGGTGCATGGCATCAGAATATTTATTCTAACCGCTGACCCACCGAAACAGTTCATCCGACTTAACACGTGAATGGCGCTTTGAAAGATATCCTACGGAGCAAGTCTATCCTAGTCATTGAGTTTACGTCATAAAACGTAGTACATGGCTCTTCATGCATTACTCCATTGTATTCAAATGATTTGATTGACCGCATGATGCCCTTGGCATCACTGCAAAGTGACTTCAGTCCTCGAGGGTGAGGAGTTGTTAATCAAAATTGCCTTGCTTGTATCATTGTGGCGGCCGTTCATAGCAAAATCAGTGATATTATCTCGATGTTATGCGCAAGATCTGTAACGCTACGGCGGAGCACCAAGGCAAACAAATGCAACACGCCGATGTCAGTGGTAGCTGGAACACGCACGCATAATGGTCAGCAGCAGGTATAATTGACCATTTTTAATATACCTACTCATGCAGTGTCTCCGAGCGCATTTCATGTGGCTGCTCACGATCGTATCGTTCGTACCCTGTATATCTCGAAGCGATTGTGAACACACGGTTTTCTATGTGGGATAACTGAAGCCGTACCACGATTGTGTGCTTTACAGACAGTCTGACAAAAAGAGCTTTGTTGTTGACCGACCGAAATCTCCATCATGTGCTGTATCTGGGATACCTTCTAAAGTAGTGCCGCAATTCTAAACTGCCGGCGGTGCCTCAAGCCAGACAAGGTGATGACGATAATTAACGAGCGAAGTTATGATCTAGCTCATCTTGGCTTTAGATGTGTGAAGTGATCTTTGGGGGAAAGACGACTTGCCTCTACAACGGAGAGAGTTCGTAGCACCAGCTGGGGAAAGGTCGGCCTTCGCTGGCACTGCTCGATCAGTAAGAAGTTGTATACTTTTACTTTGAAACTTTGGTGAATCGTTGGGTATACCAGGGCAGCAACATTTACCTGGTGAAATGGAAGAAGTATTCTCAGTCTGCAAGATTCTGGAAGTTTGAGATATCATTTTGGCCAGATTGCCCTAGTGTCGTTGCCGCTTACAGCCTGGTGCATCCTTGGCCTATACTTCACTTGGAAAAGAGACAGCGTCGTTCATGGCAGCGTGCTTATCACTGGTGAGTGGAGACCCGTTTGCTTGAGACTTAGTCGATAGTTACAGCGTCTGGTGGAGATGAGCGGGGTTGTGAACACAAAAAACTTGATGTGATAATTTGTTGCCTCGACGACCGCGTCGTGCGCTAAAAATCGCAAAGTTAAGTACGATATGACGCTCTTATAAGGTGTCTGGTTTGTTAAAACTGGCATGCAAAATCTTTATACACAATCGGCTCGCTTTTCTCACTTAGTACTCAAACTGAGGCATATATTCACCGGCTTTTTGTCGGCTCCTTATACCCAACTTACACCCCTCGAGGAGGGTACGGGCAACCTCGTCCAGTGCTACTCCAAGCCCAAACGGTATTCTCGAGAGATGATGACCTGTGGTTTGAGGAAGCAACTTTCCCGCTTTCGTTTTGCTCTAAGTGTGAGCGGATGGCCCGCATGCATGGGTGAGTAGGTGATCCGCATGAGCACAACCAGCACCTCCTGGTGGGTCAAAACCATAATCAATACGTGATTTGGTCGAAAGTCGGCGCGACTCTTGCGCTTGCGGTAAAACAAGGTAGCCTCCCTGAGCAATATCTAGGTCGTTATTCGCGAACTGGGCGTTGTTGTGAACTCTACGGCGGAGTGTCAAAGTACTGAAGAGGGGGCATGTAGAACGATACTAGGTCAGCATGATGATTTAGTGCGGTGATGGCTTTCTCCATGAGGAATGGCCCGTTTATCTATTGCCGGGTGGCCGGGTGGGGGTGGAATGATATGAGTCGGGACTCGGAGTGTCACCGGGACTGCTCTCACCAGAGAGCGCTTCGGCATTCTCACGAAAATCTTCATTTAGCTAGTCGGTCCTAGTCCGTGCTTCTGTCGTGGTTTGGGATACAGCTTGAATTGTTACATGGGAGCGGGCATCAGTGCAAGTGCACCTAAATGAGTAGGCATGATAATCTGAAACATTTGACAAGCACGAAAGCGCACGACACGATCTTCAGCTTCAGGTTCGAAAAAGTGGCGAGAGTGGGTGGAACTTCAGGTGCAGTGGTTTCTCGTGAAAGGTCGCATTTGCGCAGTGTCTAGAGACGCTTACACACTTGGTACAATTGTATCAATACAATTGTACATATTATATTACTCTCGGTGTAGCTTTCCGGAATATCGATATATATATGAAGATCACAGAACTCCGAAAAGGAGTAAAGAAAGGCAGTTCTGGCATGAAAGTATTGTAAAACTCAAATATCGACATACAGAGCTAGTGATCTCGAAAAAGCTGTGGAACCTTTTGGTCTTTTTATCTGATTTAATCTCGGTTCCGCTTCTATTAGATACGCTTGAGTCTTTCCTCTGTGTGAATAGAAACTTTCGACTCATGGAGTCCGCGTAAATCAACGCATAGTGGATTAGTTTGAAGGCTTCGAAATCAATATTTTCTATACTTATCATTGCCTATGGTTTATTGAGATTCTATTTACGTCAAATGTATTTAAATAGAATAATAGCTATCATACTAGTATTTAGTCTTATATAATAATTAACTGTGATAAATGAAGTTCACAATATGCAATCACAACTGGGTACAAACGGGATAGAGGCCCTCTGGTGGGCGGATTAATCACTGTTTGATATAACAAGCACAATGAACACATCTGGTTAATGACATTATCGATAAATTCAACTATTGGATTCGGAAGTTTCATTCAATGTCTCCCGCCAAACACACACAACTATCCAGTACACATGAGTCAGAGAATGTTTACTGTTTCTAGGAACTTGAATATAATGTAGGACACGGTAGCGTACTTAGCCTTAAACCGGTCAATTACTGCAGATGACTTGCTGCATTTTGACTGAATCATCGAAGTGCTTGTTACTACTTGACAACGCTTTGGTACACAGTACACAATGGCTTTGACTCTGCATCCCTTTACAAATGTGACGATTGCTTTTTTTCGCCTGACACAATTAGCAATGTTCAGCCTCTGAACACAATCATTATAGCGGTCTAAATGCACAATCTGCGTCGCATGCGCTTGACAAAATGATAGATTACTCTTTAATTGATATTAAACTGACTGCCCAGGTGGAAACAATGAGCTCTCGTCAAGCTATTACATGAAATACTTTTCCTTATTAGCCGCCGTCAAGTTTCGCAGTGCCGGTACCGCAATCGGCTTCTCATAATCTACTATGAGCAAGCAGAGCCAGAAGACACTCAATGCTGCTCCGCCTACATACTGGTGACCCATGTCTCTAGATGAGCTGCTCAAAACTCCAAACGAGAATGTCGCCTCTCAAGATCGGATTTTGGTGGCGTCAGTGCAAAAAATGAAAATCAAAATGTCAAAAACAAGCTTGAAGGTAAAAGTGCATCTGAAGTGGTTCGTGAATTGCCGAGTGGATGATAGGTCATTTCAGACTTCTAAGAAACGCAGCAAACGCTCCACGGAGACTAGAAGAGGCAGGCAAAAACTCGCTCTTCGATTTTTCAGATGACTTGTTACAATTCAGATTTGACTATAGTCGGATTGATTTTTTGTTAGTTGCCAGAGAGACTTGCAATGCCTCATGCTCTTTTATTCAGGTCGACACCCATCGATAGATTAAGTCTTTTCTTTTGAGGCATTATGCCCAATGCAGATGACGCTTGTCCAGTATCATGTTCATTATTCAATCGACCTCAAGAACGCTACGACAAAACAAATTTATCCGTCCAGACGTGATGAAAACCTCCTCTCTCTGGTTTTTTATCGCAGTACTACTTGCTGTTGCAGCGGTATGTTCAGATGCGCAAAACATGCGTCTATCACCGAATACCACGATTGCTAATGTAACAGAAGCTTCGGAGCAGATAGCGATAGCAGCTTGCGGCCCGCGTATTCGAAAGCCATGGGAGCTATTGCTTCCAGCTGAAAAAGAACTTTATTTGCGAGCGATTGCGATGTCAATGGACGACGGCTACTACATAAAGTTTGTGGAGATTCATACGGAGCAAATGACGACGGCTGAAGCCCACAACACTTGCATGTTCGTTTACTGGCATCGCTTGCTGCTTTTGGGCTTTGAAAACATGTTACGAAGCTACGGCGGCGAGTTCTCTTGTATCACTGTGCCATATTGGAATTATGTCGACGATACTCAACGCTATTTGATGGGAGGATGTAGAAGCATGGAGGAGTGTTCGCTCCTGCTGCGCGAATTTGGTGGATCGGTGAACGGAATTAGCCGCTCCGTCTCGATAAATGGATCACCAATTGACGGAACGTGCGTCATAACTCCACCCCTCGATCACTTTTGCGAAGCCACTCATCTTCAAGGAGGCAATTGTGCTCGATGTGTTCCACGCGGAGACTGGTTACGCTCGCCTTTTCCACCGACTACATCTGTAAGCTCACTCGCACGTCAACTCTTCGCAACGCCAACTATCGCTGGTGTGGTAGCCAATCTGGAGCTGGGTGTCCACAGTAAGATCATCAAACAACTTTGTGATTCTACCGTTGCTTGATTTCAAACTTTTGCTTTTGCATATTTCTAGATACGGTTCACAGTACTCTCGGTGGAGCAATGGGCGTATTAGAAGCACCGGCCGATCCAATCTTTTTTTCACACCATGCCACTATCGACCTTCTGCACTCCATCTTTTACAAATGTGTCGTGGGCAACACCGTACCGATTGCGATGGCAGAAAAACTGACCGATCCCAGAGTGTATACGCAGTGTCCGCGTCGCCGGCCTCTTCCAGTGAATACAATTGACCAAAGCATCTTGTATCCGCAGTCAAACATATTGCTTCGCACTGGTGAAGAAGGAATAGATCCCATTTCCGTGTTCTCGCAATTCAACATGCTCGCCCCATTCTTTTCGTCTCTTCCCTCATCATACCTGAGTTTCTCGGATATTCGCGATATCGGTGTTTTCAGCTACAACTACGAGATGACTGGGTTGCTGGCCGAACTCTATACGTCTTGTCCAGGTACGAGCCTCAGACCCAGCAATACAGGAGCTGGTGTGCCTTTCCGTCAGCTTGAAAGCTCCAGCAATACCACGGAAGAAAAAAACAAATTTGTAGAGGCTGTCATTGTGCCCAGCAACAGAACCGCGGGCAATTGGTTTATTGAAGCGCTAGCAGTTGCCTCGAACAAATCTGCATTCGAGTCAGCAGTTGTCAATTCCTCCAAAAATTCAATTGATGCAATTGCAGATGTTGAAAAGATGACTTGCGTATTCTTCGATGAATGTCGAGGTGGAGTGCACGATTATAGCGATCAATTCCGCAAGAGCTTTCACCAAAATGCATCGTCACCGTGCACCACCATTCTCGCGAATATTAAGAGCGGTCGGGATCACATTCGAACGCCTAATTGGCGCTCTATTTTTCTCCGTCACATGAAGTGCGACTTGAATTGAGGATCGTTTGCGCATAGAATTTGTATTAGTAGTTTACTGTTGCAATAAAAAATAATTGTGGATGTTATGTTTCTCAATCAACGATGATGAGCTTGTTCGACATAGACATTGCCTAAAGGTCTTGGAGGACCTCCTCAATAAAACTAACAAAACTGGAGTCAATCTGCTCCTCTTCTTCTTCGCCACGCTTCTGGACAGCGAAACGCTTAATTATCCCTTCCAATGCACCAGTGTTAACACGAATTGACACCTTGACACAAAACACGCACTGGAGCTCCGTCTAATAGGTAAACGTCGATGTGTCAAAAGTGTGTAAAATAAGTGATATGCAAAACGGGCGTACCATTTCTGCGAAAAAAAAGAATTTGACTGTTTTGTCTACACTTCCACTCGCCAGACAAATCAGGTAATTGTTGCAAAAGTGTTCAATTACTTCATCCACTTCAGGCATTTCTCTTAAACAGTACGATAAAGACGCACTAAGAAAACAGAGACATTTGTTATGGCTGGATAAATCGTTGCTACATCATACCCCAGAATACTTACATTTCCGTCGCCCGTGCCCAAACTTCTTCAAATTTCCCAGCGTCAATTGTGGGGTTTTCGGTCATATAATCGCGAGCTAGCATTGTGCTATCATCAGCATCTTCCTCGTCATCAAGATCTTCTTCATCGTCTAAAGAGGTTGCATGGGACACCGTACGCGATGCAGAGCGACTTGGCTGGCAGGAAAGCGCCTGGACTTTAGTCGTGCCAGGCTCTCTTTCATTCATAAAATGCTGCGGAATGTGATTTTGTGAAGGAGAAAATTGATGCGACTTTGCTACACAGAACGCGGCCTGGTCTGCATATTGACGAAGTGCAGACCTGAGAATTTCCATGAAGATGACATGGCCGTTTCGATAGAGTATTGAATTTACAATCCACTTAATCGTCAGCGACAGATCAGCTAATCCTGGAATAACACTGATGTCCACCAGAAAAATAGTTCCTTCAAATCTCTACACACAAAAATTTGAGTTCACTAAAATACAAATAAAAAATATGCAACAAAATACCTGCTCTGCTATGAAGAGCCACTGTTGCTGCCCAGCAACTTTTTTGCTATACACACACACCAGTCGATATTTCTGCAAAAATGCTTGAAGATCGCTTGGGTCTAGCTCGTGGGCATCTACGGAGCCAAGATCCATCGAGCACTCTACCCTGCACGTAAACAATATTGATCAGAGACTTGCAATTCTCGCAAATTACTTTATGCTTCAATCGTACGAATCATTTGCTGACTCCCACATGTCGTCAAAGGTTTGGCTGTCCACAGATGGACGTTTCAACAAGAAGTCTTCAACAGCAACGGTGGATGGATTCAAGATAGCATCTGTGCCAAATTGTTGGTTGGGAGCCTGATCTGTTAAAGTGCTCCGGGACGAATCATCAATCGCAGGATCAGGCCCTCCAATAAATTCAAATGCAGATTCGTCGCTCGTAGTTACTTCGGATACTGGGTGCCCTATGAAGTTAAAACCTGATCCATCGCCATTTCTTACAGAAGGTTGATCTGGACCGTTACTGATTGCCAAAGGAGGTGCGTAGACAGGAGCCGTCAACCTTATATCAGATTCGTCATCACAGTTCTCATTACTGGATGGATAATGAGAAGTCTTGTAGCGAGAGTCATCTTGACCATTAGCTGTTCTGTGATTCATACCCAAGTCGCTATATGCCCCGACCGATTCGGCTCGATCTGGCAATTGAATTTTATGACCAGAAAGAAAAAGTTTTTTTCCTTCGTCACTGATAGACCGTTCTCGTCCTTCCCGATTATTAGCTGTTGGTGGGCACGCAGAGCCGACATCTTCTTCGGTGGTGTCTGGGTCAGCAAATTGGGGATTATCTGGATCGAGCCGAACAGCCGCAATCGCTTGCAGAAGCTTTCGGGCATCAGCACGGTACATGTTATCATTTCGCTGCTGGGAAATATTAGTAAAGATATCCAGATTGTTTTCAAGCTCTTGCAAACACAGACTTTGTTTCAATAAAGCCATTGTCGCAACAAATGCGTTCCGATGCACCTATCCACAAAATTATTTAAAATCATGAAAATGAAGAAATCGAGAAATTCTTACATGTGTAGCGTAGAACTCGTATTTAGCTTGGAACCTCTCCACCAGTGTATCTGCAACTCCCTATAAGCATCGATGGAAGGTCAAATTATTTTGATACGCCAACTACCTGCATGACGAGGCATGCACCTGTCTATCTTTAATTCCGAGCTCCAGCACGCCTGATAAAAACGAACCAATTTTTTCATCCTTGAGGGATCCGTAACATACTGCATTGACCAGCTTCGTCACCGCAGAGGAAGCTTTTGGTTTGCCAGGACTTTTTTTTAATACTGCAGCTTTAATATTGACATGCGGAACACGAAGTCTGCGCCCCCATGACTTTTTTATAGGTGCACTAATGCCACTTAAGCTAACACCTTTCAGAATGTACACGCGAACACTTTGTCCAAATCTAATGACGTCTCCATCTTGCAACAGCACGCGATGTGGGCTTTTTTGCTCACAATAAATAAGGTACAAAAGCGCTTACCATGTAATAGATAGGGATCGTGCGGCGGAATTTTCTTGCGACCCACGAATGTACCATGCCGTGACATAAGATCCACCATCTATAGAATACAGTGATACAGCTACATCAGCAAAGCCTTGATGACAATCAAACCAGTTAATCGCACGCACATAGATACCGCCTTCGCTGTCGTGAATCACGGCTGCGTGCTTCCTCGAAACGGACGGATTTCCCAACACATGATCGCAGCTTTCTTGGTCCCGTCCGAAAAGATTGATACGCTGTGTGGCTACCATATATGTTACGCAGTGGCGGCCGTCGCGAAAAGCTTCGAGTCTTGCATGTGAGTTGGACTCAGTGGGCATGCACGCCCTGCATACATTAACAAGAACAAGATTATTTATGCGGAAAAGCATACATCAAATTAAAGTTGCTTAAGCACCAGTCGGGTGGATGGAAGGAGGCGGTGCTATTGCACAGGAAGGGCGCACGTCCTGGAGAGTCCATGGAAGACACCAGAGCACTGACTATGCCGCGAGGCAAGGTGGAAGCGCCTTTTTATTGGCGGAACAGTATAATTTAGAATATGTGATTGGGCAAAAACTGACGCGATGTCAAATACAAATATCAGGCGCTCCAATCGCGACAAATGTTTTTCCTATTAAGATCCAATTGACACTAAGCTTACGCAGACTCGAGATTCAGCTCAGCTAAAGCTGCCGTTCCAACATAGGGACCGTGACAAAAACTCATCTGCAGTTTTTCCAACAGCGATGGATCTACAACATGACAACAACAATTCCCCGAAAGTGCAGTGTATGCATGAGACGACGCGAAAGTGTAGCCTACGATTACAATAGCCAATACTGCACGTACCCAACAGCGATTTATAAGGTGAGGCCAGAACAGCATCGAGCACGGAAAATTTCCACTCGCGCGTCTCTTTGGTCGGCTCAGTGGTGCGATCCATAAGAAATTCGAAGAAGCCGCCGTACGAATGCAGCGCATGTATACCCCATGGATTATTCTGTGCCACCACTGAGCGGAGGACGCGAAAGACAGATGTTCGCAGCTCTTCGAACGGCTGCTTAAGTGACTTCATTAGCAAAATCATCGTGTTCTGCTGCCCGCACTCCACGCCAAGGCTATTATACAGTTGCTCACACATAGTCCAAACGTAAGCGTTCTCTTCGGGGACTTGATCGGGCTCTTTAAAGAGTCGCGTAAACTTTTCGAGCACATGTGCCAGTGAATGATAACAGCTGGCTTTGACAGGCATCGTGGCACTGTTACCTAGCCGAAGCCATAGATGACAGATGCTTCGGTGCTGGAGCAAAAATTCAAGTTCTTTTTCATATAACCGCAGAACAGTCATAAGTATGTAATCACTAAACTTGAAAAATCTCCTCACCTTTCTCAGACGATGATGCAAACGCAGCCAATGCGTCCATGGCTGCAACCTGCTGCAACGAATCGGCACTCTGTATTTTACTTTCAACTGCTTCTAACAAGGCCTTTGAAAGTGCGACATCACCCCAATACCTTGAATCGATATTCAAATTCGCCGCTGTAGCTGTAACTTCACCCACAAGTCGGACTGCATTTCCTCCTACAAACGAATCTGCGTACGATAAAGTTAATCCAGCAAGTAGTTTAACAAACATTGCGCCCGTCTTGCCTTCTTTCATCGCTAGTAAAGTTTTCAATGTTCCTGTGGATCGGTCATGTGTTAGCATCATGCAATTTAATCGAAACGATAAACACGCATGTAGACGTACCAGACTTGAAAATATATTCGACACCAACTTTGGTCTGGCATACTGCCGGGACCAAATCAACGACATTCATTAAAAACAATGGATCATTTGACTTCAAGCAGCTCAAAATCTTTCATAGAACAAGGTTATGCCAGCCAGTATTTTATCGAATTACCGCAATTTATGTTACCAGGTCAATGGAACCCGCAGATATGCCATACTCCATGTGCTCGTCATCTTGAGCACAAATCATCGCAATTGTTTCTAAGTAACGCATGAACTCGATTGAATTCTCGACGACTTCCCTAGGAACATCATATTTTACAATTATTGAATATAATGTTGTGTTCAGTAACACACTCTCTTGACATACCTGCTTTGTACCTTAGCCTTCAGCAAGTCTAAGACTGCTTGATAGAGTTTGCTGCCAGTGAATCGTGAAAACTAGCGAAGCAATTAGTCATTAGCATTTTAATGGCTTAGTAAATTAACAATATCTCCACCATCTTCAGCACCGTTGAGGCCTTAGAAGCCATCTCAATGTCTTCATCCGCTAGCATATCGCATATTTGCGTCAAAACCTGCGAGTGTGTCTGATGAATGATTAATTGCAACCATTTAGACAACATCGTTCGAGCCTAGTAATCAGCGCCTTTGACTTACGACGACACCAATCTGATCCAGTGACGGGTTCCGCCCTAAATGCGCAATAAATTGGCTCAGCACGAGTGCTCGTGCTTCCGTTTCCACATGTGTTAGTCCAGCCAAAATAAATGGCATAATCTGTCGTACGAAAAGCACATCAGAAGTCCGACCGTTCCTTAATGGCGATCTGAAGACGCACATCCGGCTGAAAAAAGAGGTCCGTGTCATTGCTCTTGGTGCCAAGCACACGATTGATACAATTGCACGCTTGCTTCACCTTTAAGAATGAGAACCTGAAGCTTTAGAAAAATGTCATCGCAGAAAACACATAGGAGCATACCTGCTCGGTGGATCCGCGGTCGCTGGCGTCCTGCAGACATGCGAACAGCAACGCAACTGGGATCTTCTCCAAGAATTTGTGAATGGATGCATTGTCTTGATCCCCCGCATATAAATGCCCGGATGTGACAATGCCTGCATTCTGAAATTGCGTTATTTCCTGCCACGCCGGGCTGAGATCCATTGTCAACAGGGTCAGGTTTTGAATGCGATGAATTGAGTCTGTGTATCAGTTGCATATAAACACAATATCAAACGATTATTTTGTGTTCGCTTGACAAATTCGAAAAGACTATCTAGTTTAACGCTATCTGTACCTTTTAGCGTTGTACTGTGCGATATTGCGAATACGCGGCTTTTATCACAAATCCGGGTCATTCTACTTCTCCAATTATCATTAAGCAATAGATAGCAAAGCAGATAAGGCACGAGATACGCCAGGCGCGCCCTGGACGGCCTTTAAGGCTTAAATTTAGGCTCGAAGGTTTGAAAATCTGACAGAAAACATTGCCTTCTCCCGATAACGGACATCTCATTCTTAAGAAATGCACTGTCCAAATATATAATACAAATATAAGTCAAGGATCAAATTCGCAATGACCGCACGTAGTAGTATAACCGCGCCGTCAGGCTTAATGCTGTCAAATCATCCTTGAATCATGCGCCACCGAAATTTGGCCGCTCGATCCACTGCTAGCCCGGAACCCACATAGACGATCGATTCTTGATGTAGGCGTCTCGTTACGCACGAATCCGACGGTTTCCAAACAAATCCGCAGATAATGGCAAAATCACTGCCAAAAGTGAGCTGTAAGTGTCCGTACGCATTACACTATAGGGCAGAGTTCAGTAGTACCAAAGTTTTGATATGAAAAACTCCGTAAAGAAGACAGTGGCTTGCTAGACACGCGCTATGCAGTACATTTAGTTTCATTCTTGACAATAGTTATGTTGAGTTTCACTTTGAACTTGACATTAATTTTGGACCCGTGTAGCTTTTGAGATTATATACCAAACTAGATATTCAAATTCTTGTGGGACTTCTAGCCTTTCTTGTGCTCGGGGGTAGAAGTAAATGCATGAGCATACTTGAGCATCAATTTAAACAATATATTCTTTTGAAGTAGGCACGTTGACACCACTTTGATCAAAAATTGGCGAGCAGTCAGATCTCATATAGTGTATGATCGTCAAACGTCGAGTGTCTTACTAAAGTGGTCAGTATGTAGAGACACACTACCCACGATGCTTTGACAGTTTGCCTTCAAGCAGCAAGCAGCATACTCGCACAATAATTGATATATTAAAGCGGTCGGCTGCACGGATCTTTTTGTGAGTAAATACACCCGCATGTGTTTCCTATTTCCAAAAAATTGACAACTGAGTTTTCTATACTTCTTTGTGCTATTTAGTGCAGAATCTGAAAGTAATAACTGTCAGTAGGATGCGGGTATTCAAGTAAGTTGATGACTCCCCTATAGATTGTCGGAGGATGTTGCTAAAGTCCAAATAGCTTTCGCGCATTTTGCTTTTGTCCGTAATTGTGTCTATAAACATGTGCTGAGAAAAGTCACCAATAAAGAACGGCGTTCACAAGATTGCAAGCGGGTATGAGGTCACAATTCTGTTTAGGAACTTTTTTGTAAATTGATTGCATTTCTACTGAAAAAAGTGGCGATCGGTGAGACTTTGCTTCTGTGCTGCCGTGTGTTTTTAAAGTCGACAGACCAATCGTTGACAGAACTACTGATGACTTGGCTAAAAAACGCGGGCGTTAGGACGACCAAATTGTCTAAAACTACGTTCTTAATGTTGCCTACCAGAGGTAGCAAGCAATAAGAGCCTTATATTTTGCTATAGGTTATATTCGACGGGGTCAGCACGGCAAAAAACTGTAGAAGTGAGATTTACGTCAAACCACAGCCGAGTTGCCCTCCCAGACGATTTCACTACCAAGGCATTCCACCACCTCAATGCTTAAGTAATGCAATGAGTAGACCCCGAGTTGACTTAACGTATTCAGCAGCCAGTGCATATCTGCTGAGCCACTAATCACTGTTGCTTATGTTTTACAGATGTTTGACGGTCCAAATTACATTATTGTTTTATAATGCGTCGCTTGATCACAGTGATCGACCAGTAAGGGTGGTGCTCTGGAGTGAAATTTTGTTCGACAGCATTCGTCACAGATTGATTATGAAGTAATACTACTATAAACGCGAAGCAAATTCTTGACTAATGGAACGACGACACAGTAGTTCGGCTATATTCGAATCTACGTAGTTACTTGACATGCAACATCAAGTATAATGTGATGCTATCTTGATTGTCTTACCCTACCTACATCTACAAGGTGATTGATGGTCGTAATGTGGCTGCTTGCAACGCTTCCCTTCATAAAACACGAAGTTTTTAATGGTATCCACTGCTTCCATTCCGCATCCCACCGTAGACTTTCTAAGCTGAGCACATAATTATCTTGTGAACGTGCAGAAGCTGTCTGTGCAGCCACCACAGAATTTCAGAATTTCATCGCCGTCATGTATTCAAGGTAGATTTTTATGTGTTTTGCGAGAATTCGCAACATTCTCGCGAAACACTCCAGCAGTATAAAGAAAAATTATTGCAAATTTTGACTTTATGTGTAAGCACCACTACATTAAATTTAAGCGTTTTGTACGCGGCTCTAAGGGCTACTACGATGCTCCAGTTTGCGCATCTGCTTATAAGGCATTCGAATCATATTGGTACGAATTTACGATGGCGATATTTTCATGCTTCTGTTATGGTCCTGGCTCGCCGAAATCGAAAGGGCTCGCCTGGCCGATCATCTTCTACGCCAGCGACGATCATGCAAGGCGGTGAGGTAGGTACTAGACTGGTTTTATAGTTTGCTGGGAATAATCTAACACGCTGGCGTGTGTTTCTTATCACAGACAAATGATACAGAATTTTCTCATTGGTATAACGAAACGTTGAAACAGTATCAAAGCAAGGTTCTATTGCCGCCGGGCATGATAGAGCTGTCGAATTCAATGGAGCTATACGATGATGAAGAAGTCGATCATGATGAGAGCGATCAGCATGATGAGGAGGCTGAAAAGTTTCTGGATGAAGCAGAGGAACTCTTCAGACTGAATCCTTCTGATTTTCAGAAGCGGATGGACTCGTATAATCAGCGGCACGCCCATGAAGACGACGACAGCGATGATGATATTGACCACAAAGTCGACCGTGCAAAGGAACTAATTCCGAAGGAGAAGCTTGCAAAAGTGATGCGAGAACTTAACCCGAACTCGACGCCGACCGGAAAAAATGCCGAGCGGATGCCAAGCACTAATCCGAGTACGTTGTCGATATGCCGAAGCTGAGGTCTTTCAATTTTATTTAGGAGTGCCCACTGCCGTCGTCCACTTTAGGAAAAAAAAATCTTGTTCATCTCGAGAAGAAAGAGAAGCCGTCTAGGGCTGAGCGCACGACGTATCGACAGGAGAGCGTTGGTATCGCCGTTCTAGAATATGTTCAGACTCTGCTTGTAGAGGATGCTGATTTGTCTGGAGCAAATATCGTGCCTACATTTGTCGAGGTGCACTCAATTTGAAATTTTGATTAACCCTTGCTGCTGATGCTATTTTGTTTTATCATACATTTGAAAGGCAAACGTATCGCCAGACCTGCGCAAAATCGTGCTGTTCTGGGAGCCTGTTCGCTTAAATTCAGAAGATCAAATTATCGGCAAGAAAAAAGCTGAAGCTTTGAAAAATCGACTTCAGCGTCAGGAGCGCTGGGTCCGTCGCAACGTCACTCAGCATTTAAACTTAAAGGTGCGCAAAAGCGACTGTAAAACGGTAAATGTCTGGTTTTATTAATCGATGTCGCATCATTGGACGTACACAGTATTCTCCTGTTATTCAATTCAAAGAGCAAAAGGAAGCTAAGGCCGAAAAAGCGCAGACGCTTTTTGAGGCGGAGATGAAGTGGTTGGACAATGTGTGAACTCAGTTGCGTTTGCAATAGCATAATTTGTTTACAAACTTATAATTTGATGGCAAGATACCGATCTACTGATCGTTAGCTTGAAAAAGCATTTACTCCTCAAGTCAATAATGTTTAGCTAGCTTTTTCCCCACAGGTTTTGCTTTTACTTCTGTACTAGCTCGTAAAGGTCTGAGCGCGTCTGGCTTGATGTGGGTATATTTCGACGCATTTCCATTACCTTGTCCAAATCCACTTCAGCGTACACGATGGATTCCCCATGGCCGCAGGTGGCTATAATTTCGCCCCAGGGTGAGATGACGGTAGAATGACCCCAAGCCTGGTACCCACCCTCGGGACCACGCGCAGGAGAGGTAGCGGCCACGTACAGCTGATTATCGACTGCACGGGCGCGCAGCAGAAGTTCCCAGTGCGCGGGTCCCGTAGTCAGGTTGAAAGCACCAGGGAACAGCAAGATCTGTGCACCCTGCTTCTTCATCAGCATAGATAGCTCCGGGAAACGGATGTCGTAACAGATCCCGACGCCCATTTTGCAGTAGGGAGTATCAAAGACAGTTATGTTGTTGCCTGGTGAAAGCGTATCTGACTCTTTGAAAGTTATCTTGCCGGGTACGTCGATATCGAACAAATGAACCTTGCGATGCTTTCCAATGATTTCGCCTTCAGGCGAAAAGACAACGGTTGCGTTGTATACTTTGCCGGATGCGTCCTTTTCGGGAATGGAGCCTCCGACAAGATAGATCTTGAGCTTAGCAGCGAGTTGCGACAATGCAAAGGTGGACGGATGATTACTTTCGCTGAGAAGGTCCTTTGTTTCCGGTATTTCTTCAGCGTACCGCGGGAAAGATGTGGTGGCGTAAGGCGAATTCCAGCATTCGGGCAGCGACACCACCTGCGCCGCGTTTTTTGCAGCTTTGGTCACGGCCGCGGTGGCTGTGTCAATATTCTTCTGTTTGTCTTCTCCTACGGAGATTTGGCATAACGCTAATTTGAATTTTGTTGTCATAATGCTAGAAAGGCGGCGCCTAGATGAATGAAGTTGGCGAGCTTGAGAACCAATGGTGCAACAAAACATCCCCAGAGAAGTCCTTTAGTTATGTAATGAACACGAGGTCTTTAACAACAAAGTGATGTTTCACACGAATTAATCATCAACAAGATGCTTCGAGTACGGTGCCGAAACGATAGCATATCTTTAGTTAAAGTCGTAACGCTGTTTTGTTGTAGTCTTTTCGACTGATTCGGTCTGCTGAAAATTGTCAAGTCGTGTTGCGTCATATCAGTTATGGAAGCGCGGCACCACACAGCGGTGAAAACTCAAGTTTTCTCTCGCTTCTGACTTTGGCAGGCGCCATGGGGTATATCGACGAAGCTATTCGAATTCTGCGAAGTGTTGCTGATGTTATCAATATGATTTTAATGTGCAGCGGGGTGGCGTATGTGTATTACGACCCCGACGTTCTGCCGACGGGTGTCAAAAGATGGTTGGCAATTCAGGAGCCAGAAGGCCGGAGCATGAGTCTTGAAGAGTACGAGCATTGGCGAGCTCAGCAAGCAGGATCACTAGCAGCTATGACGCAAAGTCATAAGGATAAGGGTGAGCTGGTGCTCAAGCAAACAGAGCAAACAGAAAATATTGAGCCTCCGACAATGGATGGTTCGTAATGCTGCTTTCGGGACAACAACATTGTTTGGATTTTAGCATTGTAATGGTTATTTAGACAACCTCCTGATTCCATACAAAGACGTATCGCCGTTTGAGATGAAGTTGTCGCTAGAAAAGCTTCTGGCTGAAGCGCGCGACAACGAAGCCGCTTTCATTGCCGATATCAACTCCAACAGAGTCACAGTACCTGAGGAGCAGCGCCAAATGGTAGTTGAATGCATGACCAAATGATATTGTCTTGCTACTACTAACAGTCTATTGCCATATCCAGTTGCAGGCATTTAAGGATGAGAAGACAAGATTAAAAAAGCAGCTTAAGTTTCTTAAATCCAACAAGTAGAGCTGGTCATCAGGTTGCTCTTTTACGGGCAAGGCAATCTTGAGTAATATCTGGTATCTAAATGAACGTGCCTTGATTGTGAAATGCAAAACTATTCGGTTTTGGCTTTCACGCTTTGAGTCTCTGCAGTCCACTGCCAATACGTTAAATACACCAGCACAAGTAAAAAATGACCACAGGAATAGGCAGCAAAAACGTAGTCGTGGATGTGGGGATATCTTGGGGGCGGAGTAATCAAAGCTTGAGCGGCGTGTATCGAGGCTATACCGAGCAGAGATAGCTACGACATGCAGCGACGATCAAATATAAATTGTTGAAGACCAAGTTTAAAGCACAAGCTCATACCGAGACGTAAGCCTGAAGATATGGGTTGACATTTCCATCATGCTTAAAGCCTGGCGCACAACTAGATTGCTGCGCATGAAGATGCTTTGATGCCCCCGATAGAAGAAATGGAGACACCGCAATCCCTGCAAAGGCGACTTGCAACACGATGTAGGGAATGGCAAGACCATCTTTCTTCAACAAAAAATACATGCTAGAGGAGGCAGAAAATACAGATGAAAATGGTATACTTACGCGAAACCAAAATGCTATCATAAGGGACAGACCTGAAAGTAGATACCACGCTAAACCATCCTGACAAAAGTGCATTGTGCGCAAATAGAAATGACATTGGCAACAGCGGCAATAAAATCGACTTCTCATGAACTTAAGTGCCGCTCAGGACAATAATCCGTGTTAAATATACTCGAGAAAAAAAGTTGCAAGTTAAGGAAGTTGTCACCTTGAAAGGAAAACAGGTAGAATGAAAGCGAGCAGATTGCAAGTGACAAAACGAACCGCAGGCTCGTAGGCTTTCGTCGTAATAAGTCAAAAATTGACGGAAAAAATCCCATTATGGTCATCAAAGTGCTAAAGCAGAGAAGTATTTGAGATTAGTGATACCTAGGACAAAAATGTTCAGCTTACCAAAGACGCATCTGCACTGCAGGAGTAACATGCCGACGAATTTTAAAAATAAAATCGGCGATACACCAAAAGTTTGCGACCTTATCTTCGAATAGCCCTCGATTAAAGGGGAAATTACGAGAAGCAACTAATGATTTCCGGTTAGAGTTTACTTAGGGACCGACTGAAAGGTGCGTACCTTGTGTTAACGAAGACCAACAAGTCTCCATCGCTGATGGATATGCGCAAAATGGAGCCCACATGAGCGCAAACGTGATGATGACCGCAATCACAAGTTTTGCAAGATGTAAAACGCACATCTTTCGGTAAAGACAGCGTACAAATAAAAATATCCCAAACGCAGGAGAATAGTATAACGCCATTTGCTTAAAGTTAAGCGCTAGACAATAGCAAATACTGCCCAGAAATTCGTGACCTTCAACAATGAGAGCCACACTTAAAGCTGTGAAGCCCAAGCTCACATTATTGTACTGTTATCACAATATAGATCCACACATGCCATTAGACAGAGTTCAACGTCGCTGTTAATACCTTATTTGAAAGCATACTTGAAAGTGGCCATGATCAATAAGCAAAATTGCAGGTTCCAGCAAAATCAGCAAAAAAAACGCTGAGCGCTGCGTCCACTGCTTGCTTCCGTAAATTACACGAGCTAGATAGCTAATCGCAGGAATGAAGAGTGCGACGTCGCATAATATAACTGACGTGCGCATGAATACCTTGCTGGTCGCCGACTCGTACCCCTGAGAGCTCGCAAGCTCCACCATAGCAGGTTCAAAGACTTCCGCTGCGCGTCCAAACAGGTATGAGACGTAGGCAGTCAGAGGCGGATAGTCCAGACCCCAGTACATCAAATCATTTGACGTGGTGTTGAAATACCAGTCAGACAGTGGCAAATTAGTCGTAATCTCCATCCAATGGCGCTGAGCTTCATAGTCTCCGAACATGGGTGGTTTGCGCTCGCCTGAATACGAGTGTAGACCAACTAACCAGCGAGTGAGGACGACGAATAGCCACATTAGCCACGTACCAGTCCTCCTCTCATCATTTTTCTCCAGAAATTGCAAGCCCCGATGCAGTAGCGAACTCTTAGTATCTGCACACATGTTGAGTGACTGTTAGAATTGATATGTAAACTTCATCTTTAATAGACAAACAAAATTTGTTGAGAATGGCTCTAGCTGATCGAATTGCTATTATTACAGGCGCCGCATCCGGTTTGGGTCGTGCTACGGCTACTCGCTTCGTAGAAAACGGGGCAAGCGTAATATTGTGCGATCTTCCGACCAGTGACGGCGTCAACGTCGCCAGAAAGCTTGGTGTCTCATGTCACTTCTGTCCCACCGACGTAAATTTCTTGCAACTTAAATCACAAAAAACATTTTTGGGCTGACATATAAAATACTCGTGTGGGAAGGTAACGAACGAAGACGATGTCGCCGCGGCATTAGATTTGGCTGAATCAGCCTTCGGAAATCCTATAAACACTGTCGTTAACTGCGCGGGAATCGCGTTGGCTGCAAAGACGTTGAGCAAAAAAGGCGTACACCAATTGTTCCAGTTTCAGCAAAGTATTAATGTCAACACAGTGGGGTCTTTTAACGTAGCGCGCCTCGCTGCTGAGCGGTAAGAGGCATCTATTAGTTTGCAGGGCACAATCATCTTTATCAAAGTACACTCATTAGTGAAATGTAGTATGTCAAAAACAAGACCAGGACCAGGAGGCGAGAGAGGGGTCATTATTAACACGGCGAGTATTGCCGCGTACGATGGTCAAATCGGACAGGTGGCGTATGCAGCTAGCAAAGGAGCAATCGTTGGAATGACGTTGCCTCTTGCCCGAGACCTCGCATCGTATGGCATACGTGTAAACACTATTGCGCCAGGTATAGCTACTTATAATCTACTCGTGGTGAGACAACGCTGACATCTTCAAAATTTTTCATATATTAGGTTTGTTTATGACTCCATTGCTAGCAGGACTTCCTGAAAAGGTGCAAAAACAGCTGGGTGAGACGGTTCCATTTCCCAATCGCCTGGGGAATCCCGTGGAGTACGCGCAGCTGGTTCACGCCATAATTGACAACAAGATGCTTAACGGCGAAACTATTCGCCTCGATGGTGCCATTCGAATGCCGCCCAAATAATCCGCGGCTCTATCAGAATGCAATTTCGAAACCGAATATACACTTTGAATTCTTAAGGTACTAGATTTCAGAATATCAACAATCAAAATTTAAAGTCGGTCGGTCGGCTGCAAATATCTTCGACCGCATAACTCGAAAAGATCTTTTTCTGAAGCAATTTTCAAAAGCGCTTTCAGTCCAATAGCTTCCACCACACTTGTGTATATGCAATCGAAGGAAGTATTTGAAATTTCTTGCAGCGATTGTTTCAAAAGATCAGAGAAAAATGAAAGTACAAAGCTTTCGGGGCCCGTAAAGTAAAGTAGCGCAATCCAGCTTTTAGGAGGTGAAAAAATTTTGATGTCCAGCAAAACGGTGCTGGTTTTAAAAGGGATAATACAAGCCCCACGAGAAGTTGAAATACGTCGCATCGCTCCATGTTGAATCACATTTGCTGCTGTAAGTGCTGTTATTACCTCTTCGAACTGTTGTGCATCTACATCTGCGTTTGCTGTCGTCGAAATTTCAAGCACAGTTGGAACCGCAACCAGAATGTCAAGCACCGATATAAATGCAGCACCACGAGAGAAGGATCCACATGGAAACACTTGAATCTTGGTGTTCCAATTTTTTAAATGTATGAGAATGGCGTTAAAAGCCATTTTTCCGTCTTTCTGGTTAAGGTTAGGCCGTCGAACGATTGGACTAGAGCCCAAACCTGAAGCAGGAACAATAAAATCGATCCCTACCCGAAGCTGCTCAACAATAGGAATATCGTGAGTCTGTGCGCGGATAAGTTTGTCAATTACTTGTCTGACATTAAAATAATTGCCACCTTCCTGCTCTAGTAGTCGTTGCGCTCGATTCGACTTCATTCCGTACACGTTAAGCAACGACCGCGCTTGATCCCACTCTGACGCAATAGAAGTAATCTCACCATTTTTTGCTTCATCAAAATATAGCTCTTGATGGTGAAGATAGTTCTGCTTGTACTTTTCCCAATAACGTGCAATGATGCGCCAGACTTCAAGAGCCACACCATTTACAGACGACTTCTGGAAAATGTAGTCACGGAGGACAAGATCTTGCCCTGAAGATTCCGAGTCGAGCACATCATTCTCCCACATGGCAGTAAGAACTCTCCGAGCAACCTTGCACGCTTGTACATGCCATCGTTGCTGATCAAACCATTCGCAACGTGCAATAAATTCATCAAGCGCCTGAAGCGAAAATAGCAGCATAGGTCGCCTTATAAAGCCTTCATGCATTGCGCAAGTCGCTTCATTGTTATATAGCCAGCAAGGCGAGGCCTCGCACATGCGGTCTACGTCATAATAGTCAATAAGTTCCAGACGCGAACCGACTGGTGTCTTTTCCGACATTACACCGCTTTTGGACAATGTTGTCACTAAAAACCGGGCGGCGCAATTACCACCGCGCCTGCACTTTTCCTTGTCATTTTTCGTTTCCAGCTCAAATTCAAAGTGCACGCGCTGGTCCTTTCGTTGCTGAGTTCTGCTGTTGCTACTGTTTAGACTGTTGTTGTTGATTGCGCTGGGTAGAAAGAGCAGACTGTCTGTTAATGATTCGTTATGCGAGTTGCTTTGCTGACTTACTTCAAGGCTGTTGATCATACTCGGCCGAATGCGCTTTGTATCAAATTCGATTGATTCGAACGAGTCACCATTAAGAGAATGAGATGGCATAACTATTGGCTGCGTCGTGTTACTCGACTCTAAACTCGAAGGCGGGTGCAATGCGGCATTCATGGGAAGCTCAGGGCCATAGAAGGCGCCTTGTAGCGGGTAGATTTCGGGTGGTTCTTCGTCAAGCAATTGCGCAAGGTCTTCAAAGAACTTGCGCTTGCGCTGTGGGTGTAATACAAGCCGCGGAGATAATCCGACGGTGATTGTCATTCAGGAAACCAATTTTTTTCGATGTGTAATCTGCGAAAGTAAGTGTTCATCTGTAGCTTAATTATGGCCAGTAATAAAGATTGATGTGAAAAAATAATCAGTACCCGGTTTAGCTTTCCCCCCACGAGTCAATGCTACTATGCTTAAATCGTGATAGTTTACTGATGGCCTGCAACATCATTAATCGTCCCTGCGTTTGTATATCACGAGCTGGCCTTGCTTTCGCGTAGACAATGAACTTTGTTCAAATGTTCCGATATGACGTGAAGCAGAATTTTGTTGGTATGGTCGGAGATTATTTTAATTGTGTTGTGATGGTGTATGGTGTATGTTTGATGATGTAGTATCATATTCTACTCGATACAAATGAAGGTTTGTTGCTAAAATCACGCAATGCAAAGCTTTATCATTGTTGAAAGTAAACAGACATATTTTGTACTGTTCAAGTGGCCTCGTTATATTGATCTTGAGTTCAAAGCAAAATAATGTAAGATGCATTTGCAATTGGATGGTGCCCACGAGCCCATCCTCTATGTGCAAGTGAACGCAGACTGGTAAAGTCAAAGCTTCCTCTGGTCTGTGTGCACGGCAACACTGCTGCAAAGAGTAGAACTTATCGCCTTCGCCTTTCGACGACCGAGTCAGAATTAGACTGTATCCTCTGTGATGATTAAATATGGCATGCACACGTATCTGTCCTAGCGTTGCTTGATAAGTTTGTCTTCAGTTGGTTGGAAAGGGATAGGCCCAATGGTTTCAAAGTGGTCATTGCCACCCGAAAACGCTTAACTTTTGGAGGTTGCAACCTGGCGTCTGCAGAAATACAAATAGACAAGTAAAGCCTCTTTTGCAAAGCTCTCACATTTTTGATAGCAAAGACGGAAAGATCTCATTTTTGACTCTCCAAACAGAGCGTTAACGCGCCACGTTCGCGATTTCCACGGTAGAAGGTTACGCGCATGAATCAACACTATCATGCGGTACCTCTGTACAACAAGCATAAATTATTTTTGGGAAGTCAAAATGTACAAGTTTTCATACCGCCTAATCAGGCGGTACAGCACGATAAGAGTTTCTGGTCACTCGTAAGAACATATCAAGAATATAAATAGGAATTGAGGGTACTCGAAGCCAGAATTGGGTCGGACCCACTTCAAGTAACGGTAACAGGTATCACCTTCATCTGATGAGGCAGATCGCACTGAGACATTCCGTGATCACCCGGTTTTTTCTTAAGAGCAGTAGATGTTGAATTGAACTCTGATCTCCACTTCTGTGCTTATAAGTTTGGCTAGGCATCAGGAGGAGGTGATTTTGGAAGTGCGACGGAGGCATGGACACAGTCGGGCTACAAAAATACTACTGAAAGCTCGAAAATTGTCTTGGACATAGCCAACAATCCAGTGTTGCGAGCCTCAACTCCCATCGGGAAAGTTTTTTGTCTAGGGCTGTGTTCTATTGACATTGACCACCATGAGGTGCGATGAAAAACGTTTTAGTCGACCATCCTACACGTACAGATATTCGCTTTTTTCTCAAGGGGATCTACCTGTTGGCCATACTTGAAATTTGGATTTTCGCGCCATCAAGTTGAGGCAGAAGGAAACACGCTAGGAGCAAAGGTTCGGTTCTGTGGTAGATGCTATGTTTGGAAGCATCATGATAATGGTTGGTAGTCAAGCGATTGATTTATTCCCAAGTGTTCTCGATGGGAACACTAGTTATAATGTCGAAGATTATTTTTATATAATGAATATCGTGGTTTTTTAGTTTTCGAGTATTCGACAAATGTTTCCATTGCAAGGCGCATTGATATTAAATCGTGTCATCAAGTTTTGTTGAGGTTTCACAAATTAAGCTTGAGAATGAAACTTTGGTCAGTCAAATGTAAATTTGAGGGAGAATGGATTCTAGTCTCCCAGAATGATCCATTATTCTTTTGGCATCCTAAATGCCTCCGCGTATTGTCTGGATGTCCCGATAAACTTGTTTTGTGGGACGGACAAAGGAGTCGAACGTAACGGTCCTCAAAACTATATCCCGAGTTAGCCTGATGCAGTCTCCTGTGCAAATTTTGTATCGATACGCGAAAGTAATCCACCGCGAAAAAAGCCAAGCCCTGATACAATAAATATGTTTTATCTGTCGCTGTAGCGGCACCGCTGAGAAAGAAATGTCGTGTAGCACGCTCATTAGGCTTCACGGATTTTTGGTGAGCATGTTTACTCACTCATGAATTTAGTGACCTCGCATTTTGTATTGTATCACACAGCAGTGGCTGGTGCCGAAAGAACAACCCAATGCATATGACAAGCTCTTTGCGCAGTGACAGAAGGCTGGTCATGTACGTAAGAGCAAGTCTCCGCACTGCATTCCAAAAAGAAGCAACAGGTAGTTTGCGCACTGTTCATGCTATGAGCAAATTGAACGATGCGACCATATCTGCCCAGATTCCGTTCCCACGAAATGATATAGTCCATGATGAAATGGTTGGCAGAACTGTTTTAGTGCGATCGATCTGAAGATGGTTCCTACCAGATACGATAGCGCAAAAATGATTTTTCACTAGCTGCAGTCAGTACCCACAGTGGTACGCTGTGGGAATGGTTAGTGATGTCAGAGAGTTTGAAGGAAGCTACCACGATATTCAACAAAATGTTGATGTTTATTTTGACCATCTTCGTCAAGTCTTTCAAGTTATGCGAGAGAAAAAATGCTTCGCTTCCGAAAAAGCGCATTTTCTTTGCACCTATGATCTCCGTTTTCAGTTGTCTTGTTGGCAGGAATGGCGTTCGCGTAATCCGGAGAAAGTCAAAGCTATCAATGATTGACCTGTGCCAAACAATGTGTAACAACGGTTGGGCTTGGCCAACTATTTGCACAGATACACGCGAAATTATGCATTGTTGGTGCAACACTTAATGACTATTTTGAAATAGACCGTTCAGTAGGGATAGTAAAACGAGCACCAGGCATAATTTGTCTAAGCGACATAAAGCTTGCGAGAAGATCCTGTCCTTGCAATTGCATCCCACGATTAGCCTTGCAATGTGGTCCTAAATACAAGTGGCTCTGCCATCAGTTGTAATTTGATGCAACACGTTAATGAGGGTCGAGAACGAGGTGTTTCGTATCAGTCGCGGCAGCTCCAGCCCGCAGAACGGAACTATCCACTTCATAACAAAGAGCTTCTAGCGTTAAAGTATGACTTCATCAGATTCAAGAGCTTTGCCATCTAAGCAGATCATGCCTAGTTTCTTGCAGAAATTTGCTCGATAAGTTCCTTTTTTGCGAAATCCAACTTTATTGTACACAACAAAAGCATGACAAAGAGCAAAGCCAATGCGTTGTCACGACGTCCAGATTATTTGAAGTCCAGAGGTGAAAACATTCACGAACATGTCGAGAATGCGAAGATGCTCAAACGATTGGCGCGCAAGCTACGACTACAGTACGCGAAGAAATTGTTGAAGGGCACAAGTCCAAAAAGACAGGTTAGGGCTTTTAAAATACTTCTTTGACCCCTTTAACACTTAACTGAAAATCTTCAGTCTCGCACAAAATCGCGAATTTATCCTTTTGGAGTACACAACGGATTGCTGGATTATGCGGTTCACACAGAGATATAGCAAGGGTTGATTTTCCTGATAACGAAAGTTTGTGTTACGTGCCAGCCCTTCGGGTGGTCATTTCGGAAGTAAAAAACGTTTCTCAGTCTTCCTTGTGATTACTCTTGGCCACACAAGTATAACTGGGTGCGCATGAATGTGAGCACTTGCGAGATTTGCCTAGCGCCAGCCGACAGATGGAAGTCTGTGAGTATGTACTTCATATTCGGACTTCCACGTGGCACGCATAAAAGCAGAGGCGTTCTTGTGTTACAGGGCCGTTTCAGCAAGATTTTTCATCTTGCTCCTGTTTCAATTAAAATTTTGTAAAGAAAACAGCTAAGTTCTATGTAGACGTTGCTTTCGTATGTATGGCCTTCCTGTTAAGATCGTGTCTGAACATGGCACCCAATTCTCGTCTAAGTTTTAGCGTGCACATATTGGACACCGAATTGTCCGTGTCAACAGCGGTACACCCCGAAATGGACGGTCTAATAGGACGTGTGAATCGAGTCCAGGAGGAGGTAATGCGAAGTCACGCTACGTTGTTCAAAGTGAGGAGCGATTTTGTCTCTCTAGCAAAGTCAGCTCTAAATAATCCTTCGCATGTCCTGATAGTCCACTCGCCAATTTATATAAATCATTGTATTCATCCCGAAGCACCTGCTTCCAATATAGGCAAGATTTCTTCTTTAAGCGGGGGCTATGATTACGGAGCTACAGTCAAACCTAATTGCTGGCACAAAGCTAAAAAGCAAATTTTGATTCAATGTGACCTCTGGATGGCATGACCAGTCATGAGGAGCAGCACTTCAAAGATTTTATTAAACAAGCCGTTTTGCGGTTTCAATGAAATACGATCGCGAAAGTTCTGGATCTACGAAAAAACAAACAATTAAGCGAGAAAGGAAGAGCAATATAGTATATGTGATAAATGATCCTGTTGTACATAGCATGATTAATCGGTCTGAATATGCTCTAACCAAATTGCGAAGCAGAAAGCTTTTCTCATAATTCATTGATTCGTTCAAGTAGCTAGAATTCAGTGGTGATGCTTAGACCTAGCCATCCATACGCGCAAACGCGTACATCCTACTTTTACGTAGGTAGGCTAAAGACGTATATGTCGATCCTACTGTACCATTCACAGATAACCGTGCCGATCATGAAATCTTTACACCTGATCGCGAATAGATCCAGATCATCATCCTGGGAATTCTTGTTGGCGTACAAGCGTTGAAAGGAACAAATTTCAACGTAATGCACGAATGGTTCGCACCACAAAGTATCTCGAGTACAAAGCCTGCCTCTTCAAAAGAGCGCGATAGAGCCTGCCTCTATACTAGAGCTGAAAATGTGTACGTGAGCCAGCTCACGAGACTTCTCGTACTTTCGGAGTCGACCAAATTTATCATGAACCTGTTAGAATCGTAGTTCGACACTGGACTCCAAAGCCAATCATTGGGCAGAGCCATCAGTCTGAACGTCGAATTTTAAGTTCTGTACTTGCAACAAGGTTTGAAAGGCTCTCAAAGCGAACTCCAAGCGCCAAGAAACACTGATGCAATGTCTTAATTTGCCCGCGATGAGCGCTTTTCCACATCCAGTGTCTATCCATCGCTTTCACGTTCATCACCACTTTCAAAAGTAGAGTATCGTGGGAGCGTCGTTGGGTGGTTGAGTCGGTTGTTGATCAAGAAGATCGATCAAAATGTCATCGTTGACAAAAGCCGCTGAATGATATGCACTTTTTCAGTGTTAGGTGGTGCAACAATTTCAACAACTTATTGAACTCGGACACGTTGGAACCTTCTCATGATCTAAAGTATGATATCCCGACGTGGTTTGCAACACTACCGTGACCAGAGCTCGTAGTCCTGCCAGCTCCGACTCGGCTAAGCAGATGTTCCGTCTTGCATTCGGTTTAAGGCAACAAACGTCCGCAAGGAGTCCCACTTACCTGCGATGGGCTGGATCAGATTTCGTTGATCTGACGCCAACGGAAGAAATGTTTCATGTTGAATTTCATGTTTTCATCTCTGTCAAAAATGGGGATAAGGTCGATGAGTCTCGAGGCGATGAACGCTCTTCAAAGATGACTCGTTCACATGGTCACTCCTTTACTGGTTAAATGTGAATTGCGTAAAAAGGTCTGTACAAGTATCAAAGAACTTCTGACTTTAAAGGAGGTAGATTTAATGGGCTACATTTCGCCATTACAAGAAAATACATCTATATACCTTATGCATGCATTGTGGGAACTTATAAACGGGATACCACAGTATGAATTTCCACATGCAAGTTTGTCATCTCTTATAAAATTATAGAAGTTCTGTGTGGTACAAAATACTGGTTCCTGCTTGCGAATTTGAGCTGGTGACGAGACCGACGTATCTCTGTTTTTCTAAGTTGTGCCGTAAGCCGGTCACGTATGCTGTGACTTTGTACGGAAGTTCAAATCCAAGCTTTTCAAAATTCAAAATCCGTCAGTCCATGATCTTGTATCTCCGAACTGAGGTTCAATCTCAGTTCATCTTGATAATAAGTTACAAGTTTGTATAAGCCCAATACTTTATTAGTAAAACCTCTAGCAGCCTTCAGAGTGTTTTAATGTAGCTTTAGGAGCCATTAGCTTACTTAAAATAAGCTGCAAATTTTTCTTCAAGGTCTCAAGCTGTTCTGCTTTCTCCTAGCTGGGGCAATCTTCTTATCCTCCACGTAGCGAATCGCTTCCTCGACGCAAAAGCGAGTGTGTTGTGTATGAGGGACTGTCATGAACAGCGTCCTCTTACAACAAGTCTACCCCCACAACCCCATCCTGAGGTATCCAAAAAGCTTAGACCGCCATCAGTTAGAAATGTGCGCCAGGAAGAGCAAGACCAAGACGGTAAGATTATAATTGAGGGGGGCTGAGTTTATCGCCCGTAACGGACGAAACTATTTTTGAAATGTTGGTGAGCAGTGGTGGAACAGCTAACTCGGGGTTCATCAGATCCCTTTTACCTTTTGCCGAAGGTATATAGTGAGATGATGATGAGAGTCTCGTCGCGAGTTTCTCCTGGATCGATTAATGAGGCCTCAATTTTCAGAACCGCGTATTGGGTCACATGGTAACGGCCTCTGTCACGGAACAGTAGACATTTTCTTCCACAGAAAACACGATGTTTGTATGGTGGGAGAGTTCTACCTGCTTGGAGTCAACTTTCTTCGCCAAAAGGCTATCGGAAATCGGCAAATTGGGCATGCTTATAACAAGGTAAATATAGCCACTATCCCACGCAAAAACCTAACTTTAGAAAGCACGTGCTGAGTACTGCATGGTCGCTTGGCCTTGTTTAGTGATCTAGACCATGATCACAAATTCACTAGATAAATTGACTTCCACTGACTGCAGTGTGTATTCGGAGCGGGATGCCATAAAAATGACCGGTTATGCCTCAGATACTGGTTGGCGCACCAGCGATGTGCAATAGCATGGCTATGCACAAAATATCATAGATATATTCGTCTATAGTCGTTAAAGCACGAAAACTCTGACGGTGACAACCATACAAACACTTGCGAGTTGTGCTCATCTGTATGCGT